ATTACCTCATCTTAGAAATCATTTTAAATAGGCAATTAAACACTCTACAGAATGAAATAAGATTCCTATATTTATATTTGTTTTCTTACACTGAAAATGCCACTAACTTTCTTCTGTTTAGTACAACTTACAAGTTAATTGTGCTCATTGTATCAGAGAATGTTTGGTTCCTAAAATAAATGCCTTCAGTCAATTTGATTTTGTTCAGTTTTCATATTAATCTTGAAGATATTTCTCTCTACTTTTAGTTAATTTGCAACAAATACATGAAAAGATTGACTATTTCAAGAAAGAAAACACAGAACTTGCTAAAAAAATAACTGTTTGGAAACAGAAGATATGATTGTCTTTCTAATTTCTGCTTTGTAATGGTTTTACTTTCAATTTTTGTCACCTCTTGTACTTCAGTTATTTTATCTCTTCATTTTGCTGGTGTCCCATTTCCCATGTTCCATATACTATACACTTTCATAGCAAGCTTCGCATATCTAAAGCACTTCTTTATATACACTGTATCTTACATCTGGATGCCCTCTGGGCCCATTTCTATAGTCATTTAGGTTTCAATCATATTCTATTTTACTGTCCTGCTAGTTATTGTGTTATTTTCTATTCAACACCAGACATTGAGTGTACAGTATTTAGAGAAAAGTGGAGCCCTGATATGCTGTGATCTTGCTGCAGAAAAGTTGAGAGTTTGCATCTGGCATATGGTAGAGGCCTTAGCAGTACTGGATCCCCTTAATCCAGCCTTTACTCCAGGCTCAGTCCCAACAAAAGCCAGAATGTTTTCTGTCCATCTTATCCCTAGTGTGAAATTCTTGTTCCCAATCAAAGCCTGTAGGTTTCCCAGGGGATCACCTTACTGACAGACCTTAAACTCCACTTGCGTTCCTTCTTTTTTTTAGTTTTTTTTTTTTTTTTTTTTTTTTTTTTTTTTTTTTTCGTTGGTTGTGGTCGCACAAAGACAGAGGTGAGAGACAAAAAGAGAGAAATCACTCCCCAGGGGGGGATGGTCATACCACAATCCCTTCTCCATTCTCCTCTCTGAATCTTGGGCACACACACACACACACACATGAACACACATGCCCAGCGTGAGTTTAAGCCACCAGGTCTGGGACTCAAACTGCAGTTGAATACATGGGAGTCCAGCGACATAGCCATTATGCCAACTACTGGTCCCTCCACTTGTTTTTCTTCTAACTCACACATATGTGCAAAAACTAGTCAGCTTCTTTGAACCTCCAGTGTCTACCCAGAATTCATCGATGAGACAAGGGAGAAAAGGCCCAAGTCCCCAGCTGGACAAGTCCTGTGTTTCTTTCTTCATTGCCTCATGTTTCTACACTGACTCCTTACCAAGTCATGCATTCAGTTATGGGTTTCATCTGTTGTCCACTGTTTCTTCCTGTTTGTTGGGGTGATGAGTGACTTCAGATCTACTTATCCCAATTCAAAAGCAAAAATCTGCTGTGTTGTCCCTCAAAACTCAGGTTTTAAGTTAATCCTTCCCAAGCCCAAGGAAGGATGGGGCCAGATTTCTATGTCCCCACTGACTTCCTGTGTGCATTGAACTGTACCTGTTTTAAGATGGAAGTGGTGCCTGTGTGTTCTCAGCACTGCACCACACACACAAAGGCCAAGAGCCACTCCAGAAAGCACTGGCTGAAGGATTCTTGGGTGGCCAGAAACAAATGCCCGGACATCCGTCTACAATGCTTTTGTCACTGTTTTCTAGAGATATTTTTTATTTCACATGTGAGCTATAAAGAAATCAAGTAATAAGTTGAGAATCTTTTGAATCAGAGCCATGAACAAAGTCATTTGGGAATAATAGCAAATGTAATTGTTTAACCATTGCTCCTTTTTGCCTCTACTATCAATAGAGGCAAACTTGCTAATGTAGAGCCACTCTGAGACTGATGGTTTTCCAGTGGAAATGTTGTTGCATGAGCTAACACTCTTGTTATGAAACTTGAATCATTTTTTTTATTTCAGTAGATGTTGCCAGCACTGAGATTATCCTCTCCCCCTAACCAGGATCTTTGAAGGAGGAGGCAGGAGTTCCATTCTAAGTTATAGAAATGTCAGGGAGTGAATCACAGGGTGAATGACACCAGGACCTCTGGAAGGCTGTCTGTCTGTGTGAAGCACCATCTTTTCTTTTAAGGAGAGCAGCTTTCCCCATGGCAGGAGGCAGATAAACCCTCATCTTCTGCCCCACCATGATGTGTGTAGCTGTGAGGAGCTGAACTAAAATAAGTTTTTACTTTCTCAACAAAGAGACTGACAAAAAAAGACACTAATGCTTCACATATGTGGTTTTATCTTAGCTGATTTATGTAGTATTGAACAGAGCACAGAGCCATGAAGAGAAACTTTTATTTGGCAATTACTTTCCCTCAGACCAGAGTTTAATTTTTCTTACTCTCTCCTTAGGAGACTTCTTTTTCCATCTGTCAGAGTTCATCGTACAGTCATAGGGGAGCTTAGGAAGGGACTTTTGAGACCTTAGTGATGACTAGGAATTTCACATGAGCTACTGGATAATGTGTATTTCCTTCCCATCTTAGGAAGCTATTTATGAGATGACATAAATGGAAAGAGAAAAAAAAGAAGCTGTCAATTGCACAAGATAAAGAGAAATCAGCTAGTGAAGAAATACTGTATTTAAAGTGAGTTCAGATACTGAACATCAGTATCGAAGGCAACCCTCATTGGATTTTCTTGTATTTTAATCTTTACAAAATAATTAGACTCAATTAACACAGAAATATAAAGAAATGGTCAAAAGGTTTCATACACACATGCACACTCACACAGAGAGAAACAGAGAAAAGACTAGCGAGGGGATGGGGACAGAAATAACTAAATAATGTTGAGTTACTAAAAGTTACCTAAACCCTAGGACTGGTTAGATTATGGAGAAATTGGTTCATATAAATATTTCTTGGGGTGTTGAAAATAGTCTCAATTCCTAGGGAAGCAATTTGATGTGGGCAAAATCATGTCCACAAAAGTGATTGTTTCATTTTATAAACCCAGTTGTCATTGCCCTGTGAAATATAAAAAAAAATGAGCTTTGTGATAAAAGATGTTCAAAAGAAGTTTATGTACAGAAATATTGAAATGAGTTAAGAAATCTTATCAATTTGAACTCTGCTGAATTCCATAATGGATAAGAAAACTATACAGCAATAACTTTAGACCTACTCTACATTCGTGTGACATGTACTATCTGTGGATAAATTGTGTAAGGATACAGTTGTGAGGATAACAAGAACATGGGATGATTATTGAAAATGATACTCAATGTTGTAATTTGTCTGATGAAAGCAATGGTTCATTATAGGAAAAAAAACTGGAGAAATTCAAGAACAAGTGCAGAAAAAAGAGAAGCACCTTCAACACCAGGTAACCTACGTTCTTTCAATAGTTGCAGAATCCTCCAGTACCTGAAAGAGGTGATTATAATTGCCCTTAGCAATTCTAAACATACTGTGCCCTATGTGTTTTATTTTTCAGATCATCATTTATGAACAAAAGACTCATGACAACTGGGTAAGATTCTTTTCTTTCCTTCATTCTATGCATAGTTGGTCATAACTGCACATGGACATGTTTCTCTCCTGCAGCTCAGGACTTGTGCTGTGGACAGGGCAGTGGCAGAAGAAATCAGGGAGGCCACCTACTTGAAGGAACGGTATGATATTGGGACATTGGAGTTTATTTTTTATTTCTGCAGAGAGTCAGACAGACAGCAAGAGAAAGACAGGTTCCCTCACAGGGTCTTCTTGCTGCTATCTACATCCAGACCAAGCCACCAAAGTTCGTGGGCATGTGTATGTCTCGTGTGTACAGTGAGATATTGGGGTGTGAACTTGGGAACTTCCCATGTGGCTCTACCATCATAAAGCCTTGTATAAATTCTGTGCCCCTGTGGCTGGTTAGTTGTGGACAGTTTTGACATTGCTCTTAGTGTTTTAACATTAAGATGTTGAGGACTAGTAAAAGGTTTCATCTTGAATATTCAATAAGAAGAAGACCCTAGGTTATGGAAGTAAGCATAGGGTCATGAGGAGGAGCTTGCAGGTAGAGCTGGTATGAACTGGTTATCTGCCTCATTTAGGTTGTGATTCTTATCAACCTCATTCTTTATCTGCAAGTTTGGCAATAATACGATATCAGAGGCTGCCCAAGGGACACAGGCTGCACCCAGCACCAGGGGGATCCAGCATGGACAACCCTGCATGGAAAGGTAGGAGCACCCTGAGAAAGTGATAGCTCAGATCCTGCTGCAGAATACATATTGTTCCTGGGGTAACTGTGATACTGCTGACCTCAGATACCCCACCCAGATGGCCCTTTGGGCTGGCCCTGTGAATGGTGGTGCTCAGGTTCCACCACTGACTGTGGACACCAGAGTTCCACCTCTCATTTATGTTTCACTGAAGAGTGTGCCTAGAAGGAAAGTGGGTAAGCTCTTCTATCCCACCATGAGTCAGTGGAGAAGGCTTCATCACACTTTACTGTTGTGCTTGGAACAAACTACATCAACAAAATTTCAGAATGGCACTTATAGGTTCTAGTGAAAGTATTTTTTTAATTGACTTCTTAGATAAATAGTCTATTGTACATGTCTGCTTTAAGAAAGTACACATTTATTTAGACTTTTTTTGAGATTTTTTTGTTCTTTATCTGTTTTGATTTTTTAACTGTGAACTGTAGAACTCTAGTAAATTTAATTCACATAATTTCACTCCTCTGAAATTGTGTATTCTGAAATCTACAGTTAAATCCCATATCACTATCTTTTTCTCATTGGTATCATTATTCTGATAAGTCCATTTCTGTTCATAATCATTTACACAAAACCTTATCTTAAATGAAATGCAAATTATATATAGACCAAGAAAAAAATTACACTGTGGCTTGAAGAAAAAGACTGGTGCTATTCTTGCCAAGATTGGTCGATACTCTTCCTTTTCATGACTGTTTGCAGTCTGTGGTTATATTGTCCTTTTACCTCAGGTGTGGTAGGAAACCCCTATTTTAGTGCTAATTTCCAGCTAGTTGGAGCCCTGGTCTATCTGCCAATGGTTGGTTGGTTTTGAAATCCCTTAAATCACGGTTCTGCGATGCCTTTCTCACAAGTTAGGACATGGGTTTCTCCATTGTCTTCATGGATCATCTGAGGCATGTGGTAAACTCCCTGCCTCAACTAAGGGAACTGAGTACATGAAATAGAGTAAGATAGTGAGGGAAGGCATGCAAGGGTTTTTTTTTTTTTTTTTTTTTTTTTGAGATTTTCACTGTAGGGCGCATGCGCTCGCCAGACAGACAGAGAGAGACATAGAGACAGAAAGCGAGAAATCACCCCCCAGGGGGGATGGTCACGCCGAAATCACCCCCCGAGGGGGATGGTCACGCCGCAATCCCTTCTCCTCCATTCTCCTCTCGGGATCTTGGGCACGCACACACACATGCCCGGCGTGAGTTTTGGGTCCGGGACGCGAACCACGGTCGACTACGTGGGAGTCCAGCGACATAGCCATTACGCTAACTGCTGGTTCCCTGCAAGGGTTGTTATTCTACTGCACAGAAAGTACAAGTCACACTAAACCCCAGACTTGTCTGGCCATAGGAGATTCTGTACGTCGTGCATTTCCCATGGGGAGAAGCTGCATGGTCCCTCCTGAGGAGGCAGGAAAGAGAAAGGTAAATGCTGAGGCCCTTTCCAATGTGATGATGTCAGGAAACCTTAACTTTTTATGTGGTGCCTCTCCTGGTGTGTGTTCTGTGTCTTTTTAAAAAGCAAAATCTTCTTCAAGAGCCTACAGAATCCTCAGCTCACTGGAATCTTGACATCTCCAGAAGGGTTAGAGGCTGTGGCTTGAGGTTTCACTTCTGCACGTCCAGTGAGAAGATCCTATGTTAGGGAGGGAAGCAAAGGGCCAAGAGGGAGGGACTTGCAGTCAGAGTTGGTAAGAACTGCCTTTCTGCCTCCTGTAAACAATATGAATCTGAGAAAACTTTTTCCTCCCCTGGGAGTCACTGGTCTCTTTGTGTCAGAGCAGATATTCTGTTAAGTATGTTTAGGTCCTTATTAGCTTATAGAGTTCTGAAAATCAAATATGACAAGAAAGACCCGAGAGAGTTTTCCTCAGAGTAGCTGTTCCTACATGTAGGGTAAACAGACTCTTTATTTGTTCTCATTTCTCTGTTAACTTGTTGGTAATTAGTATCTGTGGTGGTGGTGAGGGGGAGGTGGGACTTGTCCTGGACATAGATGCTCCTGTGTCTGGAATATGCCCTGTTATTAGTCTGCAATTGTCTTATCTCATCCACTGGAACCAATCCCTAGCCTTTTCTATATGGGTAGACCCAGGCCATGACATGTGGTAAGAATAGTTTATTCCTATGACTCCCCCTCTCTCCCTTCACTTTTGCCAGGACTCAGTGGAAGGTAGACTTTTGTGGCCATTATGAGTACTGGTAGAAGGGAAGGAGCCAGGGACTGTCACCTGCTTCACTTTCAGCTTTTGTGTTGGTATCATTCACTTTCATATCAACATAATTTGACCTCCATGCCCAGGGCAGAAAATGTTGAGTTCATGCAGATATCCCAGATGGTGCTGCAGGGCTTGGCAATCAAGCTGGCTGAACACATCGTAACTCTTCTCAGGTTTCTGAGGACAGGACAGCATGGACTATATCTTCTTCCCAGCATGAGGTGGCCAGCAGCTCTTCTCTTACAGATGAGTAAATAGGTTCTGTATGCAAGAAATAGCAGTTTTGTACACATGTAGGGATCACTGGCCATACATGCCAGCCCTGTGAAGGATTAGACACATCCTGACTTCTAGAGCTACAGATGTCCTAGGTGTGACACACCTAAAGTGTCACAGAGCTTGGGATTACCAATAGTAGAAGCACCAAGGGACGGCAGGGCCCCAGAGTACAATGTGGGAGAGCAAATGTCCTGGTATTAATCAGGAGAGAAGACAAAGTGAGGAAGCACCACAGGGGAGTGTTTTGGCCTCAGTGACACCTGGAGATCTACATTTGAGATCTAAAGACAAGATCTGAGACCAGGGAAGGAGCTGGAAGGTTTCCCTGGCAGACCTGGCCTCTAGGGCAAGAATCACTGAGGCAATGTCAGACCCATTTAAAGTCACTGGAATACAATCCAGATGATCAAGTGTGGGTTGGGGAATGGCCCTCACCCCCAATCAAAATCAAGTGCTTAGTCTACAACCCTGCACCTGTAATTTGAAGTAAAGATGGTTGGGTCCCTCTGATGTGTGACACTTCTGGATCAGTGTGAAAGGGGCCCAGAAGGTTGGGGGAAATTTCATGTGGATTTGCCAGGAGAATCTGTCTTTCTGACTTTATGCTCTGGTGACACTCAAAGCAAGGACAGGTCTAGTCTGGCAGAGCAGTGTCCCTGGACTCTGGCATGAGGCCCAAACCAGTGGGGATGTCAAGGCTGCTCCTGAGGAGCTGACTGGGTATCTGTCCCCATAGTCCCACATTCTCCCCTTACCTACCTGTCTCAGCTGCACACAGGCACTTGCTCATTCTTTTCCTGTATTCTGCCATCTCAGTCTCGATGCCAACAACTCATGGGGCCTGCTCTGAGCCTCAGTTCTGTTGCCCATGACATGTAAATACTGATTATTTGCTCACAATGTTGTGAGACAAAGAGGAGGAAGTATAGAGGGAAAATATCTCCCACAATGGCTGGAATTCGGTGGGCACCTGCCTTCACACAGTGTAAGTGAAAACATTTGCCCATAGATTGTCTAACGATGTCCATTGCAGTACATTAAACAAACTTAAGGGTGATCAGATTGGAACCAGAGACCGGCAGGCCTATTTTCTAAAGAAAAAGCAGTTTTTCCCTTACCATTGGAATTCAGATTCTACCACATAAAGAAAGGAAAGGCTACAAGAGGATACTTACACAGGTACACTCAGAGCTCTGTCGGGAGAGACTGTTATTCACGTGATGAAAGCTCAGGTGCAGCCACACAGGTAAACACACATGTGGGAAAATACAGAATCACATGAGAATGAACCAAAGTCCTTTTGCTTTGCAGAACCACCCATGTGACATCCAGAGGACCCTGATCCTTGATAAACCACAATCGTAGCTGAATATTGGAAAAGGTGTCACAGGCACATTACTCTTTTCCCTGTCTGATCATGCCTCTTCCCTGTTTTAACTTTTCTTTGATGTTTTCCCAAATAAAACTTTTGCCATCTTGTCTGTCAGTGTTAGTTTACTGAGGGAACCACTGACACTCCCAAGCACACAGGGTGCACATAGCTGAAAACCAGCAACCACACTCGTGCTGGAGCAGGACTCACTTGCTCAGGTTGCCAGGGAGAACGTGGGGGAGGTCTAGGGGCTGGGATTGGGGGTGTGGAGGGAATGGGGTGAATCCTAATCGGGGATGGGGGAGGGCTGGGGTGTAGCAAGAACGAGTGTATCGGGCACCTAGAAAGAGGTAGAACGGGAAGTACTGGAGTCAAACAAAACCCCAGAGTTTGGGAGGAGTGTTCAGGGTCAGTTCTGTGTGTGAGTAGGTCAGCAGACTAGCAGGACACAAGGAGTAGTTGAGTAGGACTCAGGATCATGCGGTTGAAGGGAGAGGTGAGCTCAACTTTCCCCCATGTGTTCTCCAGTTTGCTTTCTGCAATAGCAACTCAGAGGCTTTAAACTCATTCTCAAGAATGAGATGCCCTTGCCCCTGATGCATCACAATGGACAGGTCCCCACCTTCTTACCATGCATGAGCACCTTCCCCACCTAAATTAGTCCACATGCCATTAAGATGAAAAATCCTCTCTATGTGTCCTATAGCAAATTAGAAATAATAATCATAATAATAAATGAAATTAAATATTTTTTTTAAATGTTAGAAAAAAAGAAAAGCCCTCTCTAGTCAGGCAGAGAAAGGGGTCAGGGTGACTTAGCTCTGCAAGGGGGTCATGAGAAATAGTAAGTTAGACCTGGAGATTCCAGAGAGAGAAAAGTCTACAGAGAGCTTTGTCCATGTTCAGTTTTGCAAGGAGTAGGATCAGGGTAGGGTAGGGACTGCTCAGAAGATAGGCCTAGTCAAAGGACCCCATTCACAGCCCAACCTCTCCAACTGCATGGTAGGTTAATGCAGTGACAGTGATAACAATACTGTGTGAGATCCTGACAGTGTCATTAATGGGACAGAATACTAGCCCATCCTGATACAGGGGAGGGGGCTGGGGGAAATTGCTCTCCTGTCTTATCCTTGGGCTCTGCTAAGCCCCATACATCACCCCCAGGAGCAAATGCACCTTGACAAAGTTCCATTCCCAAACCTCTGCCTTGGACCCCATTTCCACCCTACCCTGGCTACTGTCTCTCATCTCATGCTCCCCAGCACTGCCCTCTGAAAGGCTCTGGAAGGTGTAGATGTTTAGCACTGGGTTTGGTACACAGAACACACCCCCCTTCCATGAGCTCAGTTAGGGCAGGTTATGGCAGGGTCTATTCTGTCTGCACATAAACCAGAACAATGGAGAGCCAAGGCTGTGTGGCTGTCTTGCAGGCTGGATGTCTGAGTGTGGGCTACATGTTTTCCTTTGGCTGCATCTTCTGTATCTGTGTCTTGAGTTCTATGTCTGTAATTAAGTCATGTGCATAAATCTGTGCTGTGTTTCTGAGTATCTTTGTGTTTATTTATTTATGTAAACATCTGTGTGATCTCCAAATGAGTGTGTGTCAGTTGTGAAATCTGTGTGTCTGTGGCTGTAACTGTGTTATGGATATGGTGGAAATTGAGTCAGGAATGGAATGTAATGAGTTACTGATTCATATGGTAATATGAATAATTTCAGAAACATTGAGCAGAACAGAATAAAGAAGACTCAAAAGAAGTACATATTGGCATGCACACACCCATTTCTGCAAAATCTAGAATAAACCAAATTAGCCTAAGATGATGGCAAGGGTTGACTGGGATGAAATGAGGTCATTTTCTGGGATTACTGAATACTGTACATTTTGAAAGGGTAGTGGTATTAGAATTTTTCCAGTAGTGAACCCAAATGCATGGAGGAAGACTCAAATCTGAGAGGGCTTTCTTCTAATGTTTATAGATTCCAAAGACACACCGACAGGTCCTGCATGGTAAGATTTGAGTCTATTTAGTTACATAATGTAGACAGGGAGCTTCACTGATAGCCAGACAGAGAATGTTCCTCACCGCCAGGGAGGACAGGCTTAGGTTGCATATGTTAAGAATAATGCATTCATAAGTGAATAAAAGACTAATGCAGGTTCAAGTCAACAAGACAGGGACTGGTTTGTATATACATTATTTGAAAGTTACAATAAAAGGTTAGCTTACCAATTAACAAATAGCAGAATATGTTTAGGGTTTAGTGCCCCTTATCTTATGATGTTAATGTCAAAGGGGATTCCATAACTCTGGAATAGTGCTGGCCATACACCGGTTTCATGAGTTGAAGGTTGTAGTCACAGGTACGTCACAAGCCCCAGCTATGCTCTGAAGCTTGATCTCAAGGAAGGCAGAATAGTGAGGGATGGGGAAGAGAACTCAATGCCTACTCTAAGTCCATCCCAACATTGACTCTCATAGCACCCTGACAGTCTTTGCAAGTCATTGATCTTCTACCAGTTCCTGGAGCAGGTGTGTGAGTCAAACATTGCATCCATATTCTACAAGTGCAATCAAGAACACATGTTCCCAATAACAGTAAAAACATTACTAAATGATTAGAAAATAATTTCTTTCTAAGCTGCTAAGCGGGAACCAAACCAAGCAGAAGGAAAATTCATTTAGTCTGGTTAGCGAGGCACATTCTCCATGGCATTTCAGCCATAGCTGACCGTGGGAAGATAGAGCACAGCCAATGTGCACTTGTGTACTTGTGTCAGGATGCCAGCCCAGTGCAGGAACGCCTTCCCTGCCCTGAAGCTTAAGGACAATACAAGTGTTTTAGTGGTACATGCAAAGGGAAATCTCCCTTGCCAGATAATATGCAGTCAGTAGTCCTCTCTTGGGTCAATAAAGTAACACTTTGGGGAGGTCTCCCAGCTTTCTATACTATGCCTGGTCAGACCAGGGCACTCTGGAAAGTGAGAGGAGGTGTCATAAACTGCCATGTGGTGATTACCACTGTGCCTTTGGGAATTGTATCTGGGCCAGTGTTGTGGCATTTTATAGTACTAGTCCACTTACCCACAATTTGGGGGCAGATGTCAAGGTTTTGTTAGTCCCCCAGCATGGGGATAAGAAAGCAATAATGCAGTTCAGGTTGAACTTCCCAGGGAGTGCTGATGTGTCTTCAGAGCTTCCTTTAGCATCTGGCATTTTATGAAACAAGCCATTGTGGGATTATAAGGGAGGTTAAAATGTCAGTCTATAAGCCTTTGTTCAGCCCATTGTGAAATGCACTCCTAGATATGCATGAGTATCAACACTAAAGAAGGCATTAGCTAAATCAACAACAAAAGAGTTGACCCTACTAGTCAACAACATCTAGCTGCGAGACCAGCTGTTAGCATAATGGCTATATCTCTCAACGCCCATGTAGTCAACCGTGGTTCAAGTCCCGGACCTGGTGGCTTAAACTCACACTGGTTGTGTGTGTGTACGTGCCTAAGATCCCAAGAAGAGAATGGAGGAGAAGGGATTGCAGCATGGCCAACCACCCTGGGAGGCGATTTGTCACTTTCTATCTCTCTGTCTCTGTCTTTTCAGCAATTGCACATACCCTATAGCAAAAACCTCTCAAACAAACAAACAAACAAACCAAAAAAACAAACAAACAAACAAACAAAAATGTCTCTCTGTAATCTACTGTCATTCTCCAAGTCCACCTGATTTCTTCACTGGCCACACAGATGAGCTATAAGAGGGGCAGATAATATTAAATGTAAACATTTCTTGTATTCTTTTTCCCATCTCCTTATGTTCACCATGCAGTTGTTACTGTTTAAGTGCCACTACCCACTAGGGGTTGTAGGAGAGAAATGGAAGCTATTTTGGTTTCCTCTGTCTAATAGCCCTCGCAACTTGTACCCTGAGGCAGAACTGCCCAACACTAGTTAGCAAACATAGCGCTTGTAATGTGTCAATATCCAGTATATACTACTTTGTTGGCAATATGTATATCTAGTATGCCTGTGAAGGAAGTCACCTAATAGTCCATAAAAAGTTCTTTTTACTTTGATTGTGTTCCATCTGTAACCATCAATTGCATTTAAAATCTCTCAAATTTATTAGGGTTACCATAAATGAGCATATATTCGGCCTAACATCAACAATGGCAAGAACTTTCTACACCTTTGTTGATGACCAATATATTACAAGGTCCATATGTGGCCTCTAATCCAGAGAAGAGGCTCATGTACACCCTGGAACTCGGGTTCCACTCTGTGCTGTCAACCTGTTTCAACAAGGTGGACTCGTGTTCTCAGCACTGGGAACAGGAAATTCTGTCTTGTCCCACCATGGACCTCTCACGTTTTGAAATCCCTTCTGTCTGATAATTTCAGTCCCTGCTAGGTTGGCAGTCACCTGAGTGGTGTAATAAATGAGCTCACCCACCAGGAGCTAAAACTGTTATCAGTGTGTCATAGCAGGAGGAGAGGGCTGACTGCAGCACCCCATCTTTCTTCCTGCTGTGCAGTCCATTTCATCTGGTCCTTTAAATAAGTATATGTATGTGACATCTTGCAATTCTATTTCCTGGATAAACTCCTATAATTGCTCCATAATCCTAAGTGGAGGGAAGGTCACTCATTAGCCACACTAATAACATGTTTTCAAGAGCCAAGTTAACAAGGAGGCATTATCGGTGTCTACTGCAGTGCTGTGGATGTGCTGCTGTGGTGAGGGGTGGCTAGTGATGGGAGATATTTTTGCATTTCTTCCTCTCAGAGAAGCAATCCATCTGCTTCTATGTTCCGTAGGCTGAGAAGACAGCCCACAATACTTTCATGCCCATTCTGCCAAAACTTAGCCACTAGGTCCACTCACTTGGCTGAACTGTATGGGGGTACTGTGGTGTGTAGTAATCATGGGGTGGTAGGGAGGGTCCCTGCTTGGGATGGCTGTGGCTATGTGGTTTTCAGCTTTTTCCTCACCCCAGGTCTAGCCTGAGGCAGGATGAAACCTCTCTCATTATCTTCTATCACCTCAAAAGGACCCTTTTTCTACAAGGAATCTGA